AGTATTCAAGCTAATAATATATATAATAATCTTTATTAGCTTATACTTTATATCATAACACCCGCTGTGTTATGATATAAAGTGTCAGCTAATAAAGATTACGATTCCTTTACACAAAGTATAAACTGCAAGATTGTCAGTGCTACTGTAATGCTTCTGTGATCCATTAATTGTCCCATACGCATTCATCCTCCATTAGAGCCCACTTAAATAGCCCAGATGGTTTATAGCTGTCAGATTACAGACATAACAAGACTTTGTGTTGTGTTAATCATCTGTAAACCATCGGAGAGGTTGGGTTAATATTGTTTAGTCTGTCTCAGTGTAGGCTCAAACCTAGTGTAATGTATACTGAAATGACATATTCATTGACGAGTACCATGTTTAAAAATAGATTTTCAGTTTTATTTGTCTGTTGAAGTGTGATTTGTGTTGGTCATCAACTGGACTGGGTGTACAGTGGAACGTATGGAATCTAAGGGAGCGGGGTCCTTCAATTTCAAACAGCATTCGCCAAAATACCAAGCCATGGAAGTCAGTAATAAATACATTTGTGTGCAATGAGAGCGCTTGGTATTTTTCTCTCCCTTGACGTTTTCTCAGTTTGTGCTTTTACTGCTCGCTCCTACGTCAATGCATAAATAACGACTGTAGAAAAGCTGTCCACAGGAGCAATGCACCGTCGCTTGGTTCCTGAGCAGGAAGCAATGACAGGATGGTGAGCCAGGCGCTTAGAAGCACTTGCGGTGGACGATGCTGGGGCCAGCCTCGTCGTATTCCTGCTTGGTGATCCACATCTGCTGGAAGGTGGACAGGGAGGCCAGGATGGAGCCGCCGATCCAGACGGAGTACTTGCGCTCAGGGGGAGCAATGATCTACAGAGGAGGAGGAGGAGATCAAATATTACTCAGAAAACTAGTCTGCGGTTTTAAAGGGGCCATGAACTGAGAAATCAAAATTCTCTCGATCTTTTGACATATAAGAAAGAGGTAATTGTACTATAAAAATATCCTGCAAATTTCAGAACTCAAAACTTTTCTTGTTAGTCTAAAAACAGATGATATTGAAGGCAGTCTGCCAGAATAACAGCTTGTGGAATGTGCCACTTTTCTGGTGTAATAGTGTGGCTAAGCACCGCCTCCACGGAGGAAGATCAATGCCTGCTTCTACATCGCTGCCTGTTTAGCCCCGCCCACCGATTCGCACATGTAGTGGAAACGCTCTATGCAAAAACCAAACTATAAAGATGATCTGAAGACAACAAGACGCGGTGCAGGGCCAAGTTGTGGAAAAATAGTCCTGGCATCTCCTTCCAAAATTAGGAATGAAGATCCAGACCGTCAGTAAGAACTTCTTGGTCCTTTGTTCACTTCATTTTATCGCGGATTCGTTTACAAACGAAGCACAATTTGACACAGGATTTTCAGAAAGATTGAAACTAAAAGAGGATGCCTTGTTGGCTATATTGGATCCAACAGTAATATCGCAACACACAAGTGTGAGTAACTGTTTTCATTACGTGATCGCTATTGCTTTATCTGTTATTACAGATCGTTTGATATGTACTGAATATTTATGCGTTTTAAACCTAAATCACAGCAGCATCCATCTGTGAAGGACGCAGGCTGTGTTAGCCAATCATAGCAGCGAGGGGGTCAAAAACAGGACAGAAAATAGTTACATAATTACTTCTAAATGATGATGCTTTTAGATGTTTTTGATAACATTATAAGTGGATCTCAGTTCAGCACAAAATAGTAAAAAATAAAAAAGGCAGTTCACGACCCCAATAAAGTCAACATGGAAAAACCAACTCAGCCAAACCTTGAGTTTTTTATTACCTTGATCTTCATTGTGCTGGGAGCCAGGGCTGTGATCTCCTTCTGCATACGGTCAGCAATACCAGGGTACATTGTGGTTCCACCAGACAGGACGTTGTTGGCGTACAGGTCCTTTCTGATGTCAATATCGCACTTCATGATGCTGTTGTAAGCAGTTTCGTGAATGCCGGCAGACTCCATACCTGTGCAAGTGTTTTAAGTAGAGCATATAAATGGTTGGAGGACTAAAAGGTAAGACAACAGTCGCCAATTTTAAATGTTTTCAAACATACCAATGAAGGAAGGCTGGAACAGGGTCTCGGGGCAACGGAAACGCTCGTTACCGATGGTGATGACCTGACCGTCGGGAAGCTCGTAGCTCTTCTCGAGGGAGGATGAGGAGGCAGCGGTGGCCATCTCATTCTCAAAGTCCAGTGCGACGTAGCAGAGCTTCTCCTTGATGTCACGGACAATCTCACGCTCAGCTGTGGTGGACGACAAAGCGAGAGTTGTTTATTTGGTCTGTTTCACACATGCTAGAAATATCCCAGTAAAAAGTGACCAGGTACACACCGGTTGTGACGAAAGAGTATCCGCGCTCGGTCAGGATCTTCATCAAGTAGTCTGTCAGATCGCGACCAGCCAAGTCCAGACGCATGATGGCGTGGGGAAGAGCGTAACCCTCATAGATGGGCACATTGTGGGTCACACCATCACCAGAGTCCAGCACAATACCTAACAACAGCCGGAAACAAGAAATCAGTCAGCCAGAGCTAACAGTAAGCACGTTTGAATGCATAATTAGTCACAAATGTGACCCTGGACCACAAAACCAGTCATAAGGGTCAATTTATTGAAACTGAGATTTATACATCATCTGAAAGCTGTATAAATAAGCTTTCCATTGATGTATGGTTTGTTAGGATAGGACAATATTTGTCTGAGATACAACTATTTGAAAATCTGGAATCTGAGGGTGCAAAAAAATCTAAATATTGAGAAAATCACCTTTAAATTTGTCCAAATTAAGTTCTTAGCAATGCATATTACTAATCAAAAATAAAGTTTTTATATAATTACGGTAGGAAATTTACAAAATATCTTCATGGAATATGATCTTAATATCCTAATAATTTTTGGCATAAAAGAAAAATCTATAATTTTGACCCACACGATGTATTGTTGGCTATTGCTACAAATATACCCCAGCGACTTAAGACTGGTTTTGTGCTCCAGGGTCACAAATATATAATTACAGTTGCTTTAGATGCACTGTGTGTAATGACATAAATGTTGCTCTTTCATTTACAGCACGTTGTCTTACCGGTGGTACGGCCAGAAGCGTACAGGGACAGGACGGCCTGGATGGCCACGTACATGGCGGGGACGTTGAAAGTCTCAAACATGATCTGGGTCATCTTCTCACGGTTAGCTTTGGGGTTCAGAGGGGCCTCTGTGAGCAGGGTTGGGTGCTCCTCAGGGGCCACGCGGAGCTCGTTGTAGAAGGTGTGGTGCCAGATCTTCTCCATGTCGTCCCAGTTGGTGATGATGCCGTGCTCGATTGGGTACTTCAGGGTCAGGATACCTCTCTTGCTCTGAGCCTCGTCTCCAACGTAGGAGTCTTTCTGACCCATACCGACCATCACACCCTGAAGGGGAGCATTGAGTACAACATGATCAGAATAGCCCAAGGAAAACCCATACAATCATTCTCTTAATGACAAATACAAATCCAGTAAGGATCTCTGTATGTACCTGGTGACGTGGGCGGCCGACGATGGAAGGGAAGACGGCCCTGGGAGCATCATCGCCGGCGAAACCAGCCTTGACCAGGCCAGAGCCGTTGTCGCACACCAGAGCTGTAGTCTCGTCATCGTCACACATCTTGA